TATCACCATAGCTTAATATTACCAGTTCTTGAAATCATGCGTTGTATATTCTTTTGCATCTGTCTTCTTTCACTCAGTATTGTCTGAGATTTCTCTATGTTGTTGCAGGTAATCGTTGTTTACTCTTTCAGTGCAGTGTATTATTTCTTTGTAGGAATACACCAAAATTTACCCACTCTACAGTTGGTGGACATTTGGATTGTTTTCAGTTTTGGACTATTATGAATTGGTATATGGACATTTTTGACCATGTTTTTTAGGTGGATATCTGTACTCATATTTACCTTCTGACCAAACATTTTACCCCAAGAAAATTATCCCCAAAAATGAATAGGCAAAGGTCCAAAAATGCAAGCACACTGTAGCATTGTTTATAGTAGCGAAATATTAGAAAGCCTAAATACTCATGAGTAGGACATTAAGTAAATTGTGATATATCCATACAAAGAACCTATTATACTCATTAAATGAGTAAGGTAAATCTACATGGAAATTTGTCTGTGCTGTATTATTATTAAGTAAAACAAAGCAGGATTATAAAACATTGTATCTAGTATCATCACATTTATGTAAAAATATATACATATATTTTACTATTTTAAAAGTACATTTGCTACATGTATTAAACAGTAAATTGTTAAAAGTTTTTATCTCTAGGGGATGGTTAGATTAAGGAGAGACTCATTTTTAATTTGTAGTTAATTCTAGATAATAAATGTGTTACTTTTGAATAATTCAGAATTTTGAAGACATTTCTATTTTGAAGGAAAAGAAATGAAGAGGGTAACTTTTATGTGTTGAGAAATAAATAAAAGCAGGATTCTGAGATGCCAAAGGGAGGCTTCTGAAGGTCAGGGGGAAGTTTTCAAGAGCCCATGGGATGCAGAGTTTGAGGGGGAGGGGTGTCAGGGAGGACCTGGACCAAGAGGCCCTGCTGACTTGATTGCTGGGTATCCCCACTGAAGGCTCAATATCTTCCTAAGTCAACCTCGTAGAAATTTTTTGTTTGTTCATCTGTTTTTTATAATTTTTATTTACTTTAAAAAGCAAATGTCACACCTTAGAAGCAAGAGAATTTCTAGGTGCTTAACTCATTAAGACGTTTGCTAGTAGAATGAACTCTAGAACTAATTTCAGAAAGTCTTTTGAAATGTAACAGTTTAAGGAATATTTATTATTTCTTTATTTCATGCTAATTATAAAAAAAATCCAACTGTACAAAAAATTTAAAGTAAAAACTAAAAAGTTCTCCTCTCCTCCCATCTGACCATCAGTTCACTAGAGGGAAAAAAACTCTTAATAGTTGTAATTAATAGAGGGAAATTTTCCAGGCATTGGTTATGCAAATCCAAGCATACAGATATTTACCTAGTCTGTCAGTTGGCAGAGGTTTACTGAGTGTTTCTTACATTCTAGGCAGTGCCCTAGGAACTAGAGAGAGAGCAGTTTTCTGCCACTTCCTCATTATAGAGCTCTCACATGTGCCAAGTGCCATGTTAGTGGGGCAGATTCAGCCAAGGAGAGGCAGGTTCCATGTCTGCCATCACAGAGTTGTCATTCTAGAGGGAAGGCAGACATCAGACTAGAAACACAAACAAAAGCAAATCATACTGTGGCAACTGCTGGGAAGAAAGAAACAGGGTCCCGTGGAAGGGAATAGCAGAGGGTCCTAGTCCAGGCCTGTGGTCAAGAGACATCTCTGGAGGAGATGTGGAAGACCAGGAATTCCAGCAGAGGAAATAGCAAGCGTGCAGGCCCTGAAGAAGGAAAAGCTTGGCAGTGATGAAGGTCAGGGTGGCTGTGGTGTGGTGGGCAAGGTGGGCAGGGGTATGAGATGATATTGGTGAGGTTAGCAGGATTAGAACATGCCCAGCCTTGAGAGAGCTGGTAGAATTTAGACTTTATTCTAAGTATAATTAAGAGCCACTGAAGGCTTTAAGCAGGGAAGTGATATGATCAAATTTGTTTTTAAAAGATTCTCGTGACTTTTGTTTGCAGGATGCATTGGAATAGGACCAGAAAGGTAACGTGAAGACCAATTAAGAAGCCATTGCAGTGTCCACACAAAGATAATGTCTTTGGTTAAGATCGTAGAAATAGCACCATACCAAGATTTTTTTCCTGCAACTGGCATACAATGATGTTTAAAGTGCTAGAATTCCTGAGTTCAGGGAATATAGAGGCTGCCTTTTAGAGTTCCTGGGGAGCTCAACTTCCCAAAGGAATGAGCACACCAGTTCAGAGGGTAAATGTGCAGAGGCATTTATAGCAACATTGCTCATAAAGAAAAATGCTTGAAATCAAGAGAATTATCTACCAGTAGGGAGTCGTTGAATGAATTAAGATATTAATACATCTGCACCATAGATACTCTTATGTAACCATGAGAGTATCACCAGTTGACTTAGAGGGATTTCTACAAAGGACTGTTGAGTAAGAAAAGCAAGATGAAGAATATGTTTAAAATTTCATTTATAAAACAAACCCTTTATACATGTGTGCTTGTATATGATTATATGAGCCTGGGGGCAAAATGAAAGGCTTTATATTGAGTTATTAATATGGGCTCCTGTTGGGACTAGAAGTGGAAGAAAATAATCTAGAACAAAGAAAATTTATGAAAAGGACTAATATGCTCATACCTATTAATTTTTGTTAAATTAGACATATGTTATATATGTATAAGAATATTTTTTTAAAAAATGCAACTGTTAAGAAGCTGGCATTGGGTTTATGTTAGCTGAAATTGAAGTCTCAGGTCCGTTTGCAGCAGGAAGTTACTGGGTAGTGGGCATCTTCCCTCTTCTGAGTCAGTGAGCCCCCAACGGGGTCTCTGCTACCTCCTGTTTCTTTGCCACTAAAACTTTGTTTCTTTGTCTATTAGAATTACGTAAGATTGTTGCTTGGCTTGTTTGGGACTCACATTTCCTTTCTATGTTCAATTCTGGCTTAGCAGTTTTACAAAAAGCGAATTATAATCCCTAATCCAAACCATTCTAGCACAGGGACAACTTTTTGCTTCCCTCAAATAATCACAGTAAACTTTCTGACTCAGCCCAGTGCCTAGTGTAAAAAGTTCAGTGTTTGTTGAATGAACAAATGATGTGTTCCTATAACCTCGAAAATGATTTCTCCTAAAAACTGGCACCCTTTAGGGCAGGAGAGAGAAAAAGCACTAGAGCTGGGATTTGAATTGCCTCATATAACAAGCTCTGCTCAATTATTTTTCCCCTTTAAATCATACTTCATTAAAAGAGGCAGTGATAGGGTGGTATAAAGTATCATAAAAGTTTATGTGTGTATATTATTATAGATTGGGAAAAATGTGTATATTATTTTATATAATAAATGTGTATATTATTATAGATTGGGAAAAAATGGCTAGAAGACTATATCCCATATTTAAGAGCAGTTGTCACTAAGTAGTAGAATTTGGGGCCATTTTAATTAACTGCTTTCTTTTCTACTGATTTGTACTTTTGATTTTTTCCATAGTTCTCCTGTATAATAATAATGATTTTTTAAAACTTTTCATTTGTGTCTAGAATAGTGCCTAGCTCATAGTAGACCTATAATAAATATTTGTTGAATAGGTTGGGTTTTTATTAAGTAAGCAGTATATGTTTGTGGGGAGTTAGCTACACTCCCAGCAAAAAATTGGGTCCCTTAGGCAAGGGGTTGTCGCAAAGGATAAGAAAATAATAGAAAACAGAAAATAATAGAAATAAAAGAATACACAGAGACGAAGGTATAGTTTTATAGATTTATAAAGAAAAGCAGAGGTACTCAGGGGACCCTGCAATATCCTCGTAAATTGTGAGGCCCAGAATAAAGTTTCATATCGGTATTTATAGGTACAGAGATCGGTTGCCAGGGGTAACAGGTTTACATAATAACAGGTAGTTTGTTTTAGGTTAAAAGTCTTCCAAAAGCCTTCTATAGATCCCTTAATTAACTCTATCTACGTGAGCAAACAGTTACAAAATCTTTCAGAGACAAACTTCTAAGTTCTAAGATAAAGCTATCACTTAACAGAAGGGTTAAACAGAGATACAGTGGCTCCATATTTCTTTATCTAGTTATTGCAGATGGAGACAGGTAGTCAGGAGTCAAGCAGGAACTGTCCCTTGAGCTAATTGCTTTTAGTTGCAGGTGTCTGTCTCTTGGGCGGGCACTCTTTGATCAGCTCTCATCCCGTGGCTCCATACAAACCTGCTTTGTCATTTAAAGCAGGCAAAAACCACAGGTTTGAGGCTGCAGTGTCATCTTGGAAAGCAGCTGCTACTGACCTTTCAGATGCCCTCCTGAGACAAGGCAGATTTTGATATGCAAACTAACACGTTCACATATTCCTTCAGGGCAAAGCCCTGCAAAACCCCTGAGATCATTTCTGTCTCTAATATTATAGGGGGCATTTCAATAAAGCAATAATTCTATGGAATGGCATATGTTCATTATAGGAAATAAGCAAATAGTCTATGGCCATACCACCCTGAACGTGCCTAATCTTGTCTGATCTCATGAAGCTAAGCAGGGTTGGGCCTGGTTAGTAGTTGGATGGGAGAAAATAGGCAAACAGTAAGCACAAGGGGAAAAAAACTTACATTTTTGCCATTCAGAGATAACCGTTAATACCATTGTGTAAAAGTTTCCAGTTTTATTTATGTATTAAACATTCATATATAATACACAGTATTTTTCAATGGGATTTTTGTAATCCCTTCCTCTCTCTTCTCTTAACCGCTTTCTCCAACTTTCTTTCTCCCTGACTTTCCCATTACAAACGTAGAGAAAAGTAACTTTCAAGTGGCTTAGAAATGTGTGTCAGCAGCCAAGTGGCCCCTCTTCCAGGAAGGAAACAGCTCTGGGACCTGCAATATCACTTGGTGTGTTAATTTACTCTACAGAGGAACCTGTGCTAGGGATATGGCCTTAAGCCAAGCAAGTTGACATCCCTCTCTATTGGACACAACCTAAAACTCTGTAATTTTCTCTCGTAGGCATTTTCAGCTTTTTACTTTGTGATGAATTTTTTAAACTTGACATCAAAGGAACTCTCTCAGGAAAATGTGATTGAGATGATGGGAAATTTCTGCTCTAGGCCTTGGGAGGAGGTAAGTAACTAGAAACAGCAGCTATCACAATTGCCCTGTGCCCCCAACAGAGTGGAAGATTTAAATCTGCTCTTAAACTTGTGGCTAGTTTGACCAAGATCCAGCAAATGTGTTAGAAAAGCACAGATGGCAGACTCAGGAATGAATTCATCAGCATTCCTTGATAACTTGCCATATAGAGGCTTAAATAAGATCTGATTTTTCTCACCTAATACAAAGTCGGCTAGTAGACAGCTGCCGGCATGGGATCAGCAGCTCAGTTCTATCTCAGTCATTGCTGCTTCAGTTCTGTTGTTGTGCCTATTTCCTCATGGGCACAAGATGGTTGCTGTGGCTTCAAGCATCACAGCCATGTTCAAGGTCAGAAGGGCAGAACCAGATACATTTGTTCCTTTTATAGGAAAGCAAAAAGCTATCTCAGAAGTCCCTCAGCAATCTTCTCCTTATATCTCATTGGCCAAAGACTGACTGGGAAAGCAAGGTGCAGGATTTCATGATTGGCTTAGAGCCTTAGACCAATTGTGAGCTGCTGCCTGATGCTGGGCACAGTGTGGCTCACTCTCCTTCCTCAGCTCCTGAGGGGGCCATTCTGATTATAAAAGACAGATAGATTATCTAGGGGTGGCTCAAAACAGCAGCTGTTTTTAAGTTGACACAGTTGCAAAAGTGAATGGTAGTTTCATTCTTAAGAAATGTCATTAATTAAAAAAGGATGCTTGTCCTCATCTGCACTGACAGAGGGGGAAGAAAAGCTGTGCCTGGAGGTTTGGCATTCTCTCCAAGTATTCTCTCTGAGTTAGAATATGAAAGAAGTGTGGTCAAGGCCTTCAGCAAGAGCTGCTCAAATATTCCTCAGCACTTTAAGTTTACAAAACACTTTGGGGAGGTTTTGTGCAGCTGGTGGTGATCTGTGGAGGAAGATAAGCATCTTGGAGTAAAGGCAACTTGAGACCAGGCTGACATATGGCTGCTGAGGAAGTAGACTTAAGCTGCTCTTTGAAAAAAAATTAATTCTGGTTTAGAGTAAAAGTTCTGTCAGATTTCCTTTCTTTTCCACATCTAATTTTTTACATCATCAGATTGTTAGTCTGGGAACGTGTATATGCAGACCTGTGGGGTCTGCTCAGGTAAGCCACATGGGGAATTGCTCCGAGGCCCAGGAAGTAAGCTCAGAAAGGCCTGCATTTGGGAGAAATCCTGAAACATTTTTTTTGGTGGGGGAGGGGTGGATTGCAGGATGAGACCCACATCCTTACCCAGAGCCTAGAATGGTCAGTGGGGGTTATGACCCAGGGTTGATTTTCCCCAACTACATTGTCTATCCATGTGGGAAGCACTGTTTTGTCAAGTACACTGTTAAAAGGTGACTCTTTCTTCTTTTCCTCCTAACTTCACCATGAGGAAGGACTGCTACTCCAGTATGGCTGTGTTTGGGAATATTCCTTCTGAACACCTTTGGCAGAGAGAAAACTAACAATTGTTAAGCATATATTATATGCTGAAAGGTAGGCTAGATACTTTATACATGTCATATCATGCTGCCTGTTTCTGCTTTGGCAGGGGAAATAAAATGTAAACCACACCTACTAATGTTCAGTAGGATGCCCCAATTCATTGGGTCCCTGAGGTGGAGAGACTATAAAAGTGAGTGAAAGAGACACTCCATGGTTATCTTCTGGTAGGTTAATTACAGGGCTGGTAGAATCTTTCAACAATCAGAATACAGCCACTTCTTCCCTACTCTGAAAGTCTGGTCATCCAAGAGAACAATGCTGTGAGATTCGATGTGTACTAACAACTAGGTATTTCTCAGTATGCTCTAGATACTGACATTCAACCCCATTAATTTTTAGCCCTTCTAGGGAAATGCATCCCATTCTTGAAGATCTACCAATGCCCCTTTATGTGGGGGGAGTAAGCAGATATTGGTGAGGGACAGAGAACTTGGTACTGTTCCACTGCCCTGGGAATAGAAAAAAGAGAGGCGAGAGGAGGAGGTGAGAGAGAGAGGAGTGGAGCCCCTCCCCCCATTTGGAAAACACACAGTAATGAACTTGCAAACATTAGCATAATCAGTTCTGGATTGATAAACCAGATGGATGTCTTTGGCTTCTATATTGTTGGCTACTATCATAACCCCCAGGAGGTCAGATTTCATAGCTAATGTACAACCTTCCAGAAGGAGGGGAGGAATAGTAATATTGAAGAATTCAGGGAAATTAGGCCAAAATTGCATTTCTCTCAAGGGATAAGCCAGCCTTCAAGAACCTATGTGGGGGTGGGGGGGCAGGTAGTTTCAAATTGGGCCTAAGTGGATTACTGGAATTCCGTACCCCACAGGTGTTCTTTGACAGGCCCACCAAGACTATATCCAATGGGGGAGGAGGTCTTTCCACAGAGGAAAAGCAGAATGCAGTTACTGAAAGGAAGAGGTAGGGACCTGGACAGGCCTCGTCAACTGATGTCCACACCACAGTCTCAGGAGAATGTTACATATATAGAGAAGTTGATCAACAGGTATTTTCCAGAACTGTGTTGGAAAGAGTTCCAAGTTGGGTCATTCTAAGAGTTCTGTCAGAGCAGAGCAAGGCAGGCTAGGTATGGACTTATTCTTCCAGAAACTGGGGGAAGGCAGGAACCAAGTGAGAAACAGTCTCCAGCCAGCGGGTAGGGTTTACAGGATGGGAGAGAAATCTGGGAAAATGGGGTGGTTTAGGCAGCCAGAAGATACTACATATAAAACATCTGCTATAGTTCCTGATACATAATATATGCCTAACAACTGTTAGTTCTCTCTCTGCCCAGGATGTCCAGGAGGAAATGCCTATTTCAAGGGCTGAGGAGCAGGGAAGGGCTGCAGATGAACTCTGGCTGAACTAGAGATGCCCTGGCTTATTGGAACAGAGTAGGCTGTGGGCATCTGGGTTTATATCCACAACAGCTAGGACAGGTAAGGGCAAGGGGCGGCAGGTGGCTCTTAGTATCTTCAGTAGGGAGTAGGATGAGTAAACTCATGAAAGACTCAAGGGAGCAACCACTTTGCATGACCCAGATAAAAAAAATAGAGGTTAAGTAAAGACAAGATAGAAGGTGAGGTATTGGTACTTTTAGCAAAATGCTTCCTAAACTCTGCTCCAGATCTGTTTTCTCAAACTTTACTGTGCACATTAATCACCTGGGAATCATATTAAAAATGCAGATTCTGAGTTGGGAGTTCTGGGGTGAGGACTAACAAGCTCCCAAGAGATGCTGATGCTGCCAGTCCAGGGACTAAACTGAGCTGTAAGGCTTTTCAGGACACTATTGTCCTCACATGCTGACAGAGGCTCTGAGCCAAAGACTCTGGTCAAGAGCATATAGAAAACTCTGATTAAAGAAAGGTGAATGGATTTCTTTCATGTAGTATTTTTTACAGCTTTTAATATGCTAATGTGATTGTGAAACTCCAAGTGTAGGGGATGAAAGGGATTCTAAAACTTAGTGTTTCTGAACCTATTATTAGACCACAGGAACTACGTTTTCCCTAGAGGACCTGTTAGTATAGAATCCTGTGGAGGAAGAGCTTCCTTAAGAGACCCTAAACTGTAAACCGTGCACCCACTGAAGGAGAGCAGCACCACTCCAAAGCTTCCTGGGAGAGGCCAACCTTCAGGCCCATGTGAACTAAGGGCTTTCTCCTTTCTTCGTCAGGTCTAGTAGGGAAAAAGAGGGCCATGGGCCACTTGCTATACAAGTATGATATTTCCTTCACTTCACTTCTAGGTAAAGGCATCTTTTGTTGGAGTAAAGGAGAAATACCTGAGTGAATACTGCTTTTCTGGTACTTACATCCTCTCCCTCCTCCTGCAAGGCTATCATTTCACAGCCGATTCCTGGAAGCATATTCATTTCCTTGGCAAGGTAATTCGGGTAACTTTTGGGTCGGGGGTGGGGGGGAGGTTGGGTTTGGGTGTTAGTGATTGAAGCAGCTTTGGGCTTGAAAGAAGTGGGAGTCAACTTGATTTAAGTTTTGGCCTGATGTTCTGTTCTACCATTCCTCCTCTAACCAAGCTGGCACTCTGTGTCAAGCCCTCCTGGGTATGTTGACCGGCTGTGGGCATCCTCTTTAAGGAGAGCTACTTTCATTCTTAGTTGTACCTTCCTTCCCACATAACAGTGGCTAATTCCTTACAAAACAAAAAAGTGAAATATTAAAGTAACAGCATTTCAGTAGTCAACAGTAATTCTGTGTGCTGACTTCAACAACACTCTCAAAGGCCCCTTCCACAATCTGGGCAAGGATAATCATGGTTTCATCATCCTTTTTGGTTGTTACTTTAAGGTTGACCAATCTGAAAGCTCCATGTGAGGAAGGGGACTGAGTGGCTATAAACAATGGGACCATTGTTTAGAAGCCAGGCTTAGCGTCAGCCCTGAAGCAACCTCACTGCTGTGCTTTATCATAGCGCCACCTGCAGGAATAGAGACACATTTACATCAGTTTAGCAACTCATGCTTTATGAAAAATACTGAGCAGTGTTTTTCCACCTTTTTAAACCCATGCTCATTAATGGCAAAAACATTTACCCCCGTATTAAATATGGCGATTTCAGGCAAAACAAATGATTGAGGCAGAGGGCTGTAGCAGCCCTGAGGATACTAAGTTTCATTACACTCTTGTCAGTACTGCCTTTGCTAATTCAAACTCAAATCTTTTCCTTGTTTTCATATCCCAGACTTCCTTCCATTCCATCACAGTTTATTTTGTTTGAGGGATATGTCTATGTCAAATTCAGGAATGACACACAGGGAAGTCCTGAGATATTCTTTGAACTCCTCCAAAGCATGATCCAGCTTTTCTAAGCCCTAGGTGATCACTCCTCTAGCTCTGGATCCTTCTTTGACACAGGCAGTAGATAAGTTTCCATCCTCCAGAGGGGAGTGGATCTTTTACAGATTATTAATCCCCAGTATTGGTAAGGGTTTAGAGGAGAGGGAACTTCCACGTGATATTGGTTGGAGTGTAAATTGGCACAACTTTTTGAGAGACTGTTTTGATAATACGTGCTAAGAACCTTTAAAAATGTACACATCATGTTGTCTAATTACTCCATTTCTACAATTTATGATAACTGGATAAAGTGAGTAAAAGTGATGTATAAGGCAGTTCATGCCAGTGAGGATATAGAAATATCTTGAGACAGGATGATGTTCACAAGGTATTGTTAAGTGAATTATTCTACATACAATTTAATTCCATTTTTGGTAAGAAAAAACGTGCAGAGAGGACTGGAAGAATATGTCACAAAATGATAACAGCAGCAACTTCTGCATGGTGAAGTATGGATAGTTTTTATTTTCTTCTTTAGGTTTATCTGTACTTCCTAATTTTTCTACCATGACCATGCACAGCTGATACAATAAAAAAATTTCCAAAATTATTTATTATCCACAGACCACCTATTATTCCAATATGTTTTAAGGTAACTGGAAAATATTCCTAGGAAGATGGGAAGGTTAGAGCATGTTTTATCATTTAATAAGAATCCATTCTCATGCATATGCATAGTCTTCCAACTTCCATAAAGTGAGATTGACTTGCTGGGATTATTCCCTAATTTTTGCCTAGTTGAGAAGTCCTGGTTTTTCTGTGGATGAGTTTCCTGGGCCTCATGAAGATGTAAAAGCCCAGGAACAATCATTATTTCCTTATCCTTTTGTCTGCTTCCTATCACCCCTCACCAGTCCTTCTCCCCCCAAATTCACACAAACAAGACAAAAAGGAATGCAAAGCTCCAAAGGTCTACTTGAATTAAGTTCTTCTAGGCAGGAAAATTGGGCATTCACCAGATTCCTCTCTGAACTTTGGGAATATAGTAGTGAGGCTCCAAACTCTCTTTCTTAATCACTGGTTCCTACTCTCTATTTTCCCTAAAACCATCCTCCCAGTTTGGAATATAAAATTAATCCATTTAGAGAACTGAATGTGGTCTCTCCACCTATTGGGTGCTCAGTGTTATGGATGGGGTTGCATGAAAGCTACAGATTATCTCCTTGAACCACAAACAACAGATTTTCCCCACTGTTTGCAGATCCAGGGCAGCGACGCCGGCTGGACTTTGGGCTACATGCTGAACCTGACCAACATGATCCCAGCTGAGAAGCCTATGTCCTTACCTCTCCCCCACTCCACCTATGTCTTCCTCATGGTTCTCTTCTCCCTGATCCTTGTTGCAGTGGTCATCACAGGCTTGTTTATCTTTCATAAGCCTTCATTATTCTGGAAAGAAGCGGTATAGCAAGAACAGCTGGAATCTGCTGGCTGGAGTGAGAAAAAAAAACTTGCCCAGGGAGCAATTTCCTGCATGGTGATGTACAAGGTCATTCTTCCCTGCTTGCCAGGGCCAGTCTTGACCAGCATGAAGCTTCCTTGGCTTTTGCTGAAGTCTTTCTTTGGGAGGTATTCACCACCCTCTGCCACAAGGACTTCTGGTAGACAGTCTCTTTTGTGAGTCTTTCTTAGCTACCCCTTTCTCGTTTGTACTCTGTGCTTGTGTTGGTTGTGAAGACCTGCCACTTTTCATGATCTTTGCTTTATAAAAGAACAATATTGACTTTGCCTAGAAAAACTGAGTGTCCTGAGTCCTGTGCTGGGAAGTTGAGCTGGTTAAAAGAAGAATCTCAGGAACTGGTTCAATTTTCCTCTTTAACAATCTCTCTCTCCTGCTTCTCATTCATCAATAAAGCCATATAATGCCTTTGGAGAGGGAAGACACACATCCCATTTCCAGGCTGCCCTTTGGTTAAGAAAATTTTCTAGAGTGGGCAAATATGTGCTAAGGCCAAAGAGTTTTACAAGGGAATCTATGTACTCATGCAGTTAATATAATTATTAATATTAATTACATCCAAAACAGGGATGTGAATGAGTCACATACTCCTGGGTGATGCCAAAATACTATAGAGAGGAACACTCAGAGCAGAGATTTTTAAAAAGCAGATGTACATACAGGCATTCAAATATCAGGGCTTACTACATAGTAGACGTATACATGTCAGGAAGAAAAATATAGTTACAACTCAGGGTCAGGAAAATGCATCCTCCAACCCATCTTATGAAGTTTTGTTTTTATTATGGTAAAACATACTTAAATAAAACTCACCATTTTAGCATTCAATTCAGTACAAATCAATGACATTTAGTACCTTAACAATGTTTTGCAACCATCACCACTGTTTAGTTCCAGAACATTTTCATCATCAAGAAATTGTCTGGAGGTAAGACCATCCTGGTAGGCACAAAACACAAACCTTTCAGTTAACAACTGCACCTGCAGAGATGGCTCACTGAGTTTTAAAGCTGTGCCACGTCTCATTGTCACAGGGTTTAATTTAGTGAGAGGGTGGCATTAGTATGGAGTGGCATGCTTTTGCCCTTCATGGTGTTTACACATTAAAATGTGCCAGGAACCAAGTCTGCACCACCCTTGTCTCACACAGTATGGGCTTTATTTACTGATTCCATGGAATATTTTGTCGGAGAAGCAGCCTGGAAAGATGAAGAGACCCTGTATCCCTTTCCCTTAGGGATTGCTTCAAGAGTTACCTGTTGAGCAGGACTGAGTGGTGATGTATTATTCTGACCTTGTCCCAAGCTCTCCATCTCTGGATCTGGGGACTGACTGTTGAGCTTGTTAGGGAAAGAAAATCTCTCCCACAAACTAGAAGCCATATGTCTCTGTATCTCTTGAACAACCAAGCCATTTTTTACAACAGCCAGGTGAATATAAACTTTAAAAAGCTGTGCACAGGAATTTTTTATTTTCTTCTCTGCTACTCACATTTGAATTCTCTGGACATTGATTAGGAATCAGAAGCCAAATTGGGACATGTTCAAAGTCTCTTTCTAGTGGTAGTTGCCTATATTGTTATAGCTGCTATTGACTGAGCATTTGTGGTGTACCAGGCTCTGTGCTCAAGTGCATTGCATTCATTTTCTCATTTAATCCTCACAACAATCTGAAGAAGGTAGCTATTACCACCTCTACTTCATAGAAACAGGAACTGAATCTCAGAGAAGTTAAGTCACTTGCCTACATGGCTGAGCAAAAGCATGGCATGCACTTAATCATTATTTTCTTTCCTGAATATACGAGGCTGTCTCTTCATAACTTCCAAGCATGCACCTTAAACTCCACATGATCCACATGAATACAGGGTTCATGGGACATGGTAGAAAGGGAAGCAGACAGACGGCCTGTTCCTGATGGGCTTGTAATTTAATATTAACTCCAGAAAGGATGTCATGGTAACACAGATACTCTGTTCTTGTGCTTTCGATGGTAATGTGTGGCATATGATGCTAATCGGTGGTTCCCATACTCCTGGCTTCTTAATTATACTGCACGCTTACTGCCACAGTAGATCAGCATCAAATAAATAGTGGTTGATGAGATGATGGAAATAAAGATCAAATAAGTCGAGCCAATAACAGCCCCCTTCTTCCTTCTGTCTGCATATACAAAGCACTGTCATGCACATTATCTATTCTTATCTTGACAACAAACCATGAGGGTGTAAATATTATTTCCATTTTAGAAATCAGGGTCATACAAACTACTACATAGCAGAGATGATACCCAAACTCATGTCTTCTGTCTCAAGTATATTACTTTTTCTTTTCTAAACACTTCCCCTCAACAAGTTGGAATTATATAATAATTCACAAGTTTCCTTCAGAGAACACAAATATTTTCTTATTCCATGTCTGTTTTGTTGACTAGTTCCAAAATAAAAATCCTTTGGGTATCTGAGGAGCCAAACTCCACTTGTCAAAATCTCCAATTATGGAGACAGTTAGCAGGCACAACCTAATCTCAATTCTGCTGGAGATAGGGTTGGTTTTGAGGCAGATCCATGAATCTGCTTTGGGCCATTCTGGGTGGGGTAGGTGAAATAAGATGGGTCACTATCAACTAATTTTAATATTGAATTGGCCACTGGTTATAACTGATTACCATTCTTCCCTGGACTTTCACTCAGGACTTAAAACTTTGTTCTAGTAACTGTTCAAAGGATAAAGATAAGGTGGGAATTTTTTTTTCTGTGAACCCACAAGGAAGAAAATCAGCAGAAGTGGTTACTTCTGTAGACAAAAGAATGAAGGTACTTAATTAGGCTTTGTGTGTGTGTGTGACAGAGAGAAATATAAAATTTTCAACTTATCCATTTCTTCATAAGAAATATATAATGTGATAAATAAAAGTTTTTAAAAGTACACTTCATTTTAATGTTGTATTAGTCAAGGTCCCTGCAAGAAACAGATGGCACTGAACAGATGAGTAACTAAGGAGAGCTTAAGAAAGTGACTAAATCCAAAATGTTATCATTTCAATAAGTAATAAATATAAAAATTATTATTTGTTCTTTTATACTAAGTTTTCAAAATATGTTGAGTATGTTATATTTATAGCACATCTTAATTAGGACTAGCCACACTTCAAGTGCTCAGCACATGTGTAGCTAGTGACTACCATACTGGACAGCATGTGTCCAAAAAAGTACATGTAAAGTTAAAAAGACACAGATTCTAAGCCCTCATTGTCTTTCCCTTGGGAGTGGGGGATTTCAACAGCTACAGATGCTGTTACTTTATTGCTATTATTTATTATATGTGAGGTTTAACATTATTCTTAAACAACCCTTTCAGATTCCAGCTCAGAATTTCACTTTATTTCTCAGGTTTTGGTGCCCTTAGGTGAAGGCTTCAGGTGAAGGCAGAGACAATTTTCATTCAGGCCAAGATGCCTGATGAGAGACCTTGGGAAAATTTCATCTGGATTTAAAGATAATACAAGATAATCCTTGATGCTTACATTCCATAGATAAAATGTAAATTTGAATATTAAATAAAAATCAGTATTTTAATAGCTCACAGAACAAAGTTAGCGACATAATGGTAAAATTACTATTAAAATATATTCCCATTTATCATCAGCTGAAAAGATGAACTGAATTTCACCCAAACTGTTCTGGTCCCACTCTGATTCAAATTCTAATAGTTGCTATCCTGCTAAAACATTACAGTTGCTCATAACTAGCTGTGCTCACTAACCATACATTTCTTTCAGTTTATATTAGGTTTTTTATTTTTTATAACAACCTCAAAGTTTTGGTGGCTTACCACAATAAACACTGATTTTCATGTTCATGGGTCCACATGTCAGCTGGGTATCTCTACTTCAAGTTTGGATCCATGTATCTCTCACTCTCCTTGTCCAGTGACTTCTTGGGACATGTTCTCATGATGAACAGCATTGAGAGTGAGAGGAAACTATTAATAGGATGTCTCTTATGGCCTTGGCCAGGACAGGGCCCCCGGCACTTCCATCCACATTCTATTGACCAAAACAAGTCATATGACCAAGCTCAATACATTATAAGCAAGTTAGAGAAACACTGGCAAGAACTGCCAAGACATATGGCAAAGTGCATGGATGATTAATTCCAACATAGGAAAGGACTGAAGCACTGAGCATGATGGTTCAATCTACCGGTGTCTCATTAACTGAAACATAAAGTGTGTTGCCTGTAAATTACAACATTTAAAGGAATATTCTCTTTAAAAAATGTCATTACTTCCAAAACTTCATCAGTCTGCAACTTTTTTCAATAACCTTAATCAGGATGCTCTGACAGCTCCCTAATTAACTTCACATTCTAAACTGGTAGATTTCCTAAGAGACTATGTATCAATTAGTTTTCTTATTTTATATGTTTAGGACAATGTATAGCTAACTACCCAACTTTTTATTTGCACATGAATCTAACACAACTGAGCACAATCGGTTTTATCGCAGGTATAATAGATTTTTCAGTAACAGAGAGAGAGGTGCCTCTAAGAGCCTTCTCTTTAGAAAAGTGACATTCAAGGCCATTAATTCAATGAGGGCATTGCTATGCCTTTTGCATCTCTCTATTTTAGATAAATTAATTTCTAAATTTAAGTTGATGCAATGTTGGCATCACCCTCATGAGCACAAGTGTTGACTTTTTGTTTTTATATCCCTTTTTGCATATATGTTGAATTGCAGAGCTCACCAGAGAACACAGATGAGTCAATGGCAAGTAAGATACACTAAGAAACAACATTACCCCTTATAATGAAGTTCTAAGAAAGGAGGGAAGGAAAGTCTTGGGAGTAGGCAGGGAATAGTATGTATCTGGGATGACCTAAACTGAACTCTACCGTTATTCCTAACCCTGCTCCTCCTTCTGTGTTTCATCATGATTAATGCCACCACTGCCTCACTAACCAAGATCAGAATCTGCTTCACCAGTGGGACCAGCCCATTCTGCCCTTGCAACATTTTCCATTTTGATTTCACCTTCTAATCTTCCTGCTATCGCCCAGTAAAGATCTATAATGTATGTCACCTGGACTGATACCAGGAATGGTGGTTTTGCCTCCAATCTATTGCTGTCAGAGTAATCTTTATAAAAAGCAGGCCTAATCACATTGCTTCCCAACTAAAACCACTGGAAGCTTTCCACTGCCTACAAAATAAAGTCAAACTCCCCAGCAGACATTCGAGGCTTTCAGCAATCTATGGCTGTCAGCTGTCTCCAAAGTCACATCCCATGCCACCCTCTGATATTCCCTACACTTCAGCTACGTAGACTGATTCTTCACCAGACATTATTCAGGTTGTCTGTTCAACTTGGAATACCCTTGCCCCACTTTACCTTCAA